CTTTAAGATTATTGAGTCCTTTCTTTCCAATCGTAGTATAAAAGTTGTCCTCGATGGACAACACTCTTCTTCACATCCTGTAACTTCAGGGGTTCCTCAAGGTTCAATCCTTGGCCCTATACTCTTTTTAATTTACATTAACGATCTTCCAGATATTCTCACATCTAAGGTGGCATTATTCGCTGACGACACTACCATTTACTCTTGTCATGATAAGAAGCCTACACTCTCTGATTGCTTGGAGGGGGTATCTGAGCTTGAAAAGGATCTCACTTCTGCTACAGCATGGGGCTCACAGTGGCTGGTGAACTTTAATTCAGATAAAACTCAATTTTATTCGGCCAATCGTTATCGTAATAATTTAGATCTTCCTATATTTATGAATGGTAATGTACTAGATGAGTCATCTACCATTCATCTTCTAGGATTAACTCTTACTTCTGATCTTTCTTTTAAACCGTATATCAAATCCATTGCAAAATTAGCATCTGCTAAGGTTGCATCTCTTTATCGAGCTCGACACTTTCTTACTCCAGATTCTATTCTCTATCTCTATAAATCTCAAATCCGTCCCTGTATGGAATACTGTTGCCACATCTGGGGCGGATCTTCTAATGATGCTCTTTCTCTTTTAGACAAGGTGCAAAAACGAATTGTAAACATAGTTGGACCTGCTCTGGCAGCCAATCTCCAACCTTTGTCACATCGTTGTAATGTTGCTTCTCTTTCTCTTTTCTACAAATACTATAATGGGCACTGCTCTAAAGAGCTAGCGTCCCTTGTGCCATCTACTAAAATTCATTCTCGTGTTACTCGCCATTCAATTAAGTCTCATCCTTTTTCTGTGACTGTTCCTAAGTGCTTCAGAAACTCTTATTCTTCTAGTTTTTTTCCTCGAACATCAGTTCTTTGGAATTCGCTTCCTTCATCTTGCTTTCCTGATTCATATAATTTGCAATCTTTTAAGTCATCAGTCAATCGTTATCTTGCTCTACAGTTTTAGTCTTTTCTCTTCCAGTAACTTCCAACTCTTATAGTGGTTGCTTGCAGCCTTGTTGGAAGTGAAGATGTTAAAAAAAAAAAAAAAAAAAAAAAAAAAAAAAAAAAAAATTTAAATGTTTGAATGAACCATAGTCATAACATTTTATGACCATAAATGAAAAAATAATTATTGGCAATTTTCATTGCCACAACAGCATGGAAGCGCTTGCGACCAATATTTTTTTGTAATTAAACAAATGTTTTTGTAGTTAAACTGTAATTCCACCTCTTTTGTATGGTTCAGACTTTGTCACCTCACCTAAAGACAAAGCTGAATTGTTTGCCAAGAACTTTTCATCAATATCATCTTTTGATTCCACTAGTTGCATTCTACCTGATATAGCTGTCAAACAGGTTCATCCATTGCTCGACATCCGTATCACTCCAGCTTCTGTATCTAAAGTAATTTCCTGCTTAGACCCTATACTTTTTTTAATTTACATTAACTACCTTTCAGATATTCTCACATCTAAGGTGGCATTGTTCGCTGATGGTACTACCATTTATTCTTGTCACGATAAGAAGCCAACTCCCTCTGATTGCTTCCAGAAGGCATTTGAGCTTGAAAAAGATTTCACTTCTGCTACAGCATGGGACTCACAGTGGCTGGTGAACTTTAATTCAGATAAAACTCAATTTTTTTCAGCCAATCATTATCGCAATAATTTAGACCTTCCTATATTTATGAACAGCGTGATGAGTCTCCTACCCTTCGTCGATGAGTCTCCTACCCTTCATCTTCTGGGATTAACTCTTACTTCCGATCTTTCTTGGAAACCTTATATCAAATCCATTGCAAAATTAGCATCTGCTAAAGTTGCTTCTCTTTATCGAGCTTGTCACTTTCTTACTCTGGATTCTATTCTCTATCTCTATAAATCTCAAATCCGGCCTTGTATGGAATACTGTTGCCATATCTGGAGTGGATCTTCTAATGATGCCCTTTCTCTTTTAGACAAGGTGCAAAAACACATTGTAAACATAGATGGACCTACTCTTGCAGCCAACCTTCAACCTCTGTCACATCCTCGTAATGTTGCTTCTCTTTCTCTTTTCTACAAATACTATAATGGGCACTGCTCTAAAGAGCTAGCGTCTCTTGTGCCATCTACTATAATTCATTCTCGTGTTACTCGTCATTCCATCAAGTCTCATCCTTTTTCTGTTACTGTTCCTAAGTGCTCCAAAAACTCTTATTCGTCTAGTTTTTTTTTCTCGAACATCAGTTCTTTGGAATTCGCTTCCTTCATCTTGCTTTCCTGATTCATATAATTTGCAATCTTTTAAGTCGCCTGTCAATCATTATCTTGCTCTACAATCTTTATCTTTTCTCTCCCAGTAACTTCCAACACACTATATTCATAAATTATCCTGGTCATCTTAAATATATTTTCCGGAAAAAATCCGGAAAATTATATTTAAGACATATCCAGAAAAATCCCGGATTAAAAAAGCTTTTTGTGTATTTTAGAATATCTCATGTGCTTGAAAAGAAAATATTTGGCAGGTATTCTTCTATATAAAAGAAAGTATTTTAATGCTTACTTAAATAATATAAACAAAGTAAATAGTTCCTTTTTTACCTCCATTTTTCATAAGGAAATTCATTCAGGTCTTCAACTTAATTCTTAAAAAGAGTTTATAAATTAAATTAAAGAAGATTTTTAGATTAAATAGTCAAAATAATTTTAATGATCTCTAAGTGCTGAGTGTTTACATATTTTAAATAATCCTTAAAAAATAAGTTTCATTTTATTTAAACGTTCCAAAATAAAGTATTTGTCAAAACATATGCAAAAAACTTTTTAATAAATAATTTTATAACGCCTTTTTTTTTTCTCGGAGGTAAGTTTTAATTTTAACACCATTTTTTTCTTTTTTGAAGGTAAGTTTTGTAGTATTTATTTTTAAAAAATCTTAATTTTTTTTTTTTTAATAAATACTGCAGAAATACATGGCAAAACATGCTTTTTTGTTAATATCTCAACAAATAAATTGATTTGGTAATTTTAATTAACTCAAAACTTATTTTATGATTTAAATACATACATACATTTTTTAATGGGCTGGATGAATAAAAAGCAATTGCTTTTAGTCAGCATTTTTTGAGTAAGTACTAAGCTTTATATGAATAAAATTCATGCAATTTACTCAACTTTTTATTTACGTAAAGCTGAGCAATTAGTCCAATATGTCTCCAAAAAATATCTGGTAAAAATAAAAATATCTGGAATTCCAGAAATATTCGGAAAAAGATAATCCCTGTATATTACTTTAAAAATCGCTACTTAATGCCCACCATTAAAAAAGAAAAATATATTCAAAAGAATACTCTTGAAAATGATATATTAGGATTAAAAATAAATCAAATGTACTATTCTTAATAACAATAATTAATTAATACACACTGATTATTTTATAATGTAATATATATAATTCTTAATATATCTTTGGAAATCAAAGCTTAATTTGCTGTGTCATTGTGAAACTATGGCTAATTATTTGTTGGTTTCATATTTATCTTCAATATATGTTACAGACGGTATTTTATTCTATTTTTGGCGCTGTCCAATCAATACATGCAGCGCTGCAGTGGAGTAGAAGAAGAAAGAATATAAGAAAAGATAACCTCACGCAATCCTGGAATACAATTTAATTTCAGGGAGTGAGATTGGGAAATATTTTGACAAATTCCCAATTTTGTCTAAACACTGTATAAAATTTATTCCTGGTTAACACCATGTATATATATATATATATATATATATATATATATATATATATATATATATATATATATATATATATATATATATATATATATATATATACATATATATATATATATATAGGCCTCAGCAAGAATGGCAGGCTATAGCCCGTCTCCGCACCCATTTTAGTCAGTTTAGACGGGTGAAATAAAACCCGTCTCAAATTTAGCCCGTCTCAAATTAAAGCCCGTCTCAAATTTCAAACATAAATTTAGTGTTAAAAAAATGGTAAATATTTTGATGCTTATTTATTTAGTTACACTTTTAAAACTCTCATGACATAACTTTAATATGGATAGCAAACTCCAAGTTATAATTTTTTATATTCAAATATAAAAATTAATCAATTTAATGATTAATATATATTATATAGATGATAAAAGTAATATAACTAAATCTTATATATATATATATGTATATATGTATATATATATATATATATATATATATATATATATATATATATATATATACACACACATAAATATATATATATATATATATATATATATATATATATATATATATATATATATATATATATATATACTCTTGCATGGTAGTCAGAAAGTTTTTCCCTAAACTGTAGTTTTAATGAGCGCATCAATAAACCAGACCAGAAAAAGTTAAAAAACTTAAATAATTTTTTCCTTACTTAAATGATAGACTGCCTGCCCATACCAAACCCTCAGTCGATGTAGGAGCACTCCCTCGCGAGTCAGGCTATTTGTCAGTCAATGTAGCAACACTCCGTTGTGAGTCATGCTATAAGATAGTCGATGTACAGACACTCCACGCATGTTTTAAAAGTATATTTTAACAAAACAACAACAAAAACACCAACATTAATTAAAAAAAAACTTTCTAGTCATTATTATTGCAGTTTTTTTAAAAAACAATAAAATTTAATGTACTTCTACATTAATTTAATTGCTTTGATATTTCGACAACAATAAAATGCAGCTTAAAAGACAAGGTAAAAAAATTTTAGTTGAAAGAGACTTTATATATATATATATATATATATATATATATATATATATATATATATATATATATATATATATATATATATATATATATACATATATATACATAATATATAAAATCATATATCGAATTCATAAACATACTAAAAATAAAATACTTTTTGTGATAATGTGAGTAATAAAAAAAGATGTGACTGACTATTTCTTTAACTTGAGCAAGCATACATTCAATAAGTTCATTTCTTGATTCTAGTAGTTCCGGAGAAAATTTTTCATTTAGCCAAGCCTAAAATGTTTAATTTTATATTACAACATAAAAATATATGCATAAAGAAAAAGTTAATTTATAATAACTTCTAATTAAAAAGTAAACAAAAAATTAAAAAAACCTGAAGTATTTTTTCATAAACTTCTTTTGCAGTAACCTCTATTTCTTCATCACTCTCAACTTGTTCAAAAGAGTCGTTCATTTTTTCCAACAACCAACCAAACCCAGAAATATTTTTTAATTTAAAAATTGAAAATAAAATCTTCTAAAAAAATTCTTTTTTAAACAACACAAACTTACAATATTTTTTTTGACTTTTGCCATAAATAAATAAAACGAATTTCATTCCATAAAAATATTCAAAGGTCACAAATAAACAAACAACATTAAAAGGTTATTTTGGCATACACAGATATATATATATATATATACACAGAAATTTTTTTATATAATCATAAAAAATCTATCTATATAAGTGGTAAATAGCATATGCAATAGTATAAATAATAAGTAACAATATTTCAGAATATCACGGGAAACTGTGCTATGCCCATAGAGTGATACCACACAGATGTAATTTAAAAAGATTCTGAAAAATATAACGTTTTTGACAGCTGTTTCTTAGTGTAATATAAACTGTGAAGCTGTTCAAAATGGGTAGACAAGGTTGATTTAGCTCGTATTGGTGTGAACAAGTCTATTAAACATTGTTCAATAAACACTTATTTTCAAAAGTTCATTACTGACAAATATGCTTCCAAAAGCAGGGATTCATTCAACATCCTATTGTGTTTAAACAACACATGTTGTATAAATGCTTTATACTTTAAAGCTTGAGTTCTCCATAATCTTTACAAAGAGTTTAAAATATAGGTTGAAAAAACCAATAAACAAAATATTTAAAGTTCTTTGTGAGTAATTTTTTTACTAGATCTATTATATAAACTTTAATAAAAGCTCATCATATTACTATAAACAAGATTGCAAGATTGTTTAAAAGTCACCAACCTAACATATATATATATATATATATATATATATATATATATATATATATATATATATATATATATATATATATATATATATATATATATATATATATATATATATATATATATATATATATATATATATATATATATATATATAAACTATTCAAGACAAAAATTTTAAGAACAATTTTAAAATTATGCAATTAAAAATTAAAGCATTAGTTACATCCTTGTACTGTAACAACTAATGTACGAGGACCACCATGGTTACGATGCTCACATAACCAAATTCCTTGCCAAGTTCCTAAATTAAGTTTACCATCAGTGATAGGAATTGTAATAGAGGCACCAATTAAACTCGTTTTGACATGAGCAGGCATATCATCAGGACCTTCTTGGGTATGAGTATAAGGTATATTTTCTGGAGCAAGTTTATTCAATATCATTTCCATATCAGCTCGGACATCATCATCCCAGCATTCATTTAAAGATAAACTAGCAGACGTATGCTTTAACAGTAGACAGCAAGTACCAATCTTAATTTTGTTCAGAAAAGGAAGTTCTAAATCAGTAAACAAAATATTAACAGTAAACAAATATATATATATTTGTTTATTGTTAACATATATATATATATATATATATATATATATATATATATATATATATATATATATATATATATATATATATATATATATATATATATATATATATATATATATATATATATATATATATATATATATATATGTTAATATTTATACTATATATGAACCTTTATATATATGAAAGAAAATTATGAAAAAATAAAAATGTAACCCTATCATCATATGGTTTTGCAAGCTTGCTTGCAGCCAAATTTTTCAACTGTATTTTAAAACACTTCCCCTTATCCTATTAATCTAAAATTTTGATCCAAGTTTAATATGAAAATCAATAAATCAAAAGGATCTACTTTTGGATTTAAAAAAATATTTTTTATTGACAACCTAATACTTTACACATATGATCTATGTGTAAAATATTAGATCAACCTAATACTTTACACATTGATCATAATAGGATGAAAAAGTAATATTATGAAAAATATTTGAATTGATAACTTTCTAAATTTAGCATTAATCTCGCTTGTTTATTTAATAGCTGCATAAACTATAGGCCGGGTGAATAAAAAAAAAAATTACTCACAAGCAATTGCTCTGAGCAAAAGCTAAAAGCAAATGCTCGCCACTATAGCAACTGCTAAAAAATGTGTGAATTAAGTGTTGCTAATTCTCAAAAGCATTTGCTTTTGTGTCGGAGTAAAAGCTATATGCCGTTGCCAGTATAAATAGCTTTTTTAACCTTTAATGTTTAAAAATGGCTAATTCAAACCAGATTTCAATTAAATTAAGTGAAAATAATATAGCTAGCCAAAGTTTTAACAAATGTGAAGATGAAATTTTTATAAACATACTATTCAAATTGCCTATCCCTCTACAAAAAAGCCAAGTTCAAAACGTTAAAATAAAGAAAAACAAAGCATTTTTTAGAATGCAAGACTAAATGTTCCAAGCAACAAGAACAAAAATTGATATAACATGAAGACATATATGATTAGGGGCAATATTGGCAGGCATAGAACAACTCCTAGTGCAAGTGTTGCTGAAACAAATGAATCTATATTCAACAACTCATCAAAAAGTCACACGATACTTTCCTTGTCACCATCAGTTGAATCTTAAGTAATGTTAAAAGTAGTTGCAGTAAGTTACTAATGTGGTTTTTTATCCTTTAATATAGTATATTTGCCGTACACATGTTTCCAATATTGTTTTTTTCTTTTTATATTTTATGTAAAACTATCAATATCTTGATAGTTTTACATAAAATGCGATTTTATTCTACCAAAATTTCATTCTTTCTCAGGGAACACTTCTTCTCAAGCATCGAGGTTAATTCCAAAAAGAATAAAACTACCTGGTGAAACTAAAGAAACTATAAAATGGACAAATACAGAGCTTCAGCGTGTGGTCATGCTGGAGTAACTAAAATATTATTGGTTGAAAAATAAAGTTGAAAAATACTACTCCGAACCATATATGAAGAGGAGATATTATTGTTGACATTAATGTTGCTGGAAATAAAACACAAAAAAGTGAAAATAAATTTTGGTTACTGTTAAATGTACAAAAGTTTTAAATTTACTTAAATTAGTTTTTTTACCATGCATTCCATTTTTAACATTTGAAAACATTATACATAGTAATAAAAGAAGGATGAATTTAAATTAATAGAAGTACCTTTATACAATTCAGTAACTAAAATCTTTTTTAAAATGTCACTTCTTTATGTTTTATTTCCAGTTAGTTTTTATGTTTCATTTTATTTCTTAAATGTCAGTTATAATTTATTTAAAAATATTTCTAAAATTTATAGCATAATATAAATATATTACAAATAATGCATATTTTAATGCTTCTCTTTATCGAGCTCGTCACTTTCTTACTCTGGATTCTATTCTCTATCTCTATAAATCTCAAATCCGGCCTTGTATGGAATACTGTTGTCATATCTGGGGTGGATCTTCTAATGATGCCCTTTCTCTTTTAGACAAGGTGCAAAAACACATTGTAAATATAGTTGGACCTGCTCTTGCAGCCAACCTTCAACCTCTGTCACATCGTCGTAATGTTGCTTCTCTTTCTCTTTTCTACAAATACTATAATGGGCACTGCTCTAAAGAGCTAGCGCCTCTTGTTCCATCTACTAAAATTCATTCTCGTGTTACTCGTCATTCAATTAAGTCTCATCCTTTTTCTGTTACTGTTCCTAAGTGCTCCAAAAACTCTTATTCGTCTAGTTTTTTCCCTCAAACATCAGTTCTTTGGAATTCGCTTCCTTCATCTTGCTTTCCTGATTCATATAATTTGCAATCTTTTAAGTCGTCTGTCAATTGTTATCTTGCTCTACAATCTTTATCTTTTCTCTCCCAGTAACTTCCAACACTAATTAGTGGTTGCTTGCAGCCTTGTTGGAAGCAAAGATGTTAACCACTGAGAAGCCTTAGTCAAAATTTTTTGAAGAGCCAAAGAGACAGTTATTGAAACAATACTGCGATGAATCCCAGTTTTGTTTGGATTTCATTTTTATACAAACTTTGGAAGACAACATGAGCAACTTCTTTTTTGCTAAAATTGCTAAAAAACAGAGTAAAGTAGATATAGGCAATTTAAAGGAATACATTAATTTAATTTTATTCAATTCAATTCAATTAAATTAAAATGAATTTAATAGAATCATTAATTTAAATGAATACATAGAATCATCAATTTAAATGAACACATAAAACAAATGGATGAATACATAAAATCATTAATTTGAATGAATACATAGAATCATTAATTTAAATGAATACATTGAATGAATGGATGAATACATAGAATCATTAATTTGAATGAATACATAGAATCATCAATTCAAATGAATACATTGAATGAATGAATATATAGAATCATCAACTTAAATGAATACATTGAATGAATGAATACATAGAGTCATCAATTTAAATGAATACATAGAATCATCAATTTAAATGAACACATAGAATCATCAATGAATGAATACATAGAATCATCAATAAATGAATGAGTGAATACATAAAATCATCAAGCAATCATATAACTGAGAATTACAATCAAAAAGACATCAAATTTACAGATGATGCAAATTTGAATATGGTGAGTGAGACAGACAAATCAGAATCAGGCAGTTCAAGTCTAACTGGTAAGTTTAACTTGAACTGTCTGAAAGGTTGAAACAGTTGCAAGAAAATAATAATACAGATTATGCACTGTATTTTAATTGGAGAAATAATGACCATTAACTAGAGATTAACAGATAAATGGTATGTTGATGGTATGCGATGGGTTTAAATGGATAAGTATTATGTAGAGAACAATAATTTCTTTGTTTGATACAAAGGAATATTTAGTAGTTTAATAAAAAGCAAACTTAATTTTTTTTATTGTTTATATTTTCTTTATATAGCAAGCTATATTTAAGAGCTTTAATCTTATTAAGTGTTAAAGGGATCCCCAAGTGTCAAGTTATGTTTATATCATGAGTAATCTTTAAAAAATAAACTTCATGCTAATTAAACTTCATGCTAATCTAAAACAAATTATTTATTGAGATAGCAGAAAAAAATTTATAATTTTCAATTTAAGCCATTTTCTCTCTAGAGTAAGTTCTGGCTCTTTGTTTTTTTTTAATATTTTTTTTAATTGTATATTTTTTTTAATATTGTATTTTTTTTTTAATATTGGTCTAATATTGCGCTTTTGTAGTTAATACAAAAAGGTACAAAAAAGTTATTTCAAATAACTAAAAATCAAGTTATAAACATGTTATATTTGAGTTTTCCCTTTTGTAATTAATTTTTATGAAAAAGAATTTGTATATAACCTTTTATAAAGTGTATAATAACCAAATTAAAATAATGTGTAACACTAAGCTCAACTTATATTTATTTTATTTTAGAAACAAAACTAAAACTAATACTACAAATATAGCATATGCATATTTATAATACTATAAATATAATATATATATATATATATATATATATTTATAATACTATAAATATAATATATGTATATTTATAATACTACAAATATAATATATGTATATTTATAACACTAGTTTTAGTTCTGCTATTTTAATATTTCTATTTCCATTAAAATATCAAAATATTTAAATGGAAATAAAAATAAAACAAAGTAGAAAAGCGGTATTTTTCATTTAACTACAAATTTTATTTAGTCGGATATATGTAAATATCTTTATAAAAAAGAAAAACTTAATCTAGTTGTGTATTAGGATAAATCATTTAAAATAACTCTGCATTAGGTGCATTTATTATTCAAATCAAATATTTTTTCAACTGAAAAAATTATGCAGATTTTTTTAACCTAAAGTTTAATGGCAAAACAACAAATGTTTTTCGTTAATATCTCAATAAATAGTTTGTTTTGGTAATTTTAATAAACTTAAAACTTATTTTTTAATGTTTCTTTACAAAATAAAGCCCTTTAAATGCTTGCTCAAAAAAATGGAGCAGTTATACCTGGCACAAAATTTTATTTTGTAAGGCTTATTTGTCATGTTCAGTTGCATCAAAAACCAGTTTTTGTAACAAATTTATTTTTTAACCCAACCTAATTGTTACATTTATAGCGCATTCTAAAAGCTGTGATGTCATATCCCATTGTTGAGCTTCAGCAAACCATATATATTAATTAGGTTCTTTCATTAGCTCTATGATTGCATTTTACTTACTTTATTATAGTTATTGTACTTAATATATTTGATGAAAGCCTAATATTTAATACTGGATTATATTGCAGGTTTGCAACAACTTATTAAAATATACATTAAAAAAAAATGGATGCAAAAATATTCAAAAAAGTACTCAGTGACGAATCGAGCAACAAGGATTACATTTATTGAAAGAAGATGTTAGTAATATATCTAGAAAAAGCAGATATACCCAAAGAAAGTGAACTTGAAGTTTTATTT